CTGCTGCCGTCAGTCACCATATCTCTTTCCAAGTCTGAGTGTCGAAGCGATCAGTTTCGTAATGATGAAGCAGAAAGCTCCAGTAGTCTGATCCATAGCACATCGTTTGGTCGACGGTAATCGTTGAACGACCTTACTTTGAACGACCCCGTCAAATATCGATCAGCGCTACCGAACCTATAGTCCCTCTTTAACGCGTTTGCGAGCAACATGCTTTCAAAGTTGAGAGGCAAAAATTTCTCAAATCTTTCCAGACACCCTAACGTTTTAGAATGGAAAACCTGGGCGGAATTGTAGGAAGCAGGGTAATGCCGATTCATCCCCGAAGCACTATCCTACAATGTCGCGCGATGGGATGGACTTCGCCTGCATATTTTCTTGTACTGAACTCAAACCCTGTGCTCATATTGGCGGCTAAATAATGTCACATTCATGACATGACAACATATTAATATTGTGATGCTCGACTTCAAGAAAAAGCTCCCTTCATATGAATTAAGGAAGCCATATTTGATGCGGTCAAGACGTTTGCCCATGAATCCACCGTTTTATTCACCGCTTTGAGCACTATCAAATCAGCACTAATTGTTATGACCCAGGAAGGATTTCTAAGCGAACAGCAGTCGGTATAACCATTTTGGTGCTACCGTGCTCTTACACACGATTAAGGATAAAGTCTTTGAGCGGTAAGCAGAGGAGGGATGCGCCTACGCATTCGACTTTCATTAAGAACCATAATGGCGTAATGAATAAGTATGTGGCTTAAACAACGACTGGCCAGTCGATGTGCAAGTCAGTGCTTTTCTTCTCCCATGTGAGTCTGGTATCGATAAACCGATATGGAGGGATGGAAGGCTTGGTTGTCTCAGGCGGTTACGAAACTGGATTCGAATAGGCTATCATGCGTTTGTGATAGTGTGCCACATACTTTACACACGATAATGGCGAATGAATCTTTTCTGTTCCTGAAAAGCACAAGTACGGGTTCGAGTCCCATCCGAGACTGAAGTTTTGTCCATAAATCGCCAATTTTGTAAAACTATTCTTTATTGGTAGAATGCCGACATTGTTAGCGAAAACCACGGGGCGCAAGCTCTGAGGAGAATCCTCGGCAATCACAAGTGCTCTGTCGACAGCGCACCCTCTTTATCTGCTATTTCGTTCCTTGTTTTTCGGAATTGATTTACTGAGTGTTTTTATACTAAGGGTTGGTTTTCTTGCCACAATTTTCTCGAAGTCCCTCCTGAGAGCCTGAATTCACTCACAACCTGAAAAATTCTCACACGCTGTCACCCACGTAACGTCTACTCTCCTGCAGTTAATCTGCAAAAGAAAAACTGTAGCAATATCAGCTTCCCACCAAAGTGAATGTTTTATCGTGAGAGATTTTCCCAAGTGTTGATTGGGCCCATGCTCCTTCCCATTGCAGATTTTAAAAAACTTGTCATTTGCTAACTTAATACAGTGGAAATCGTTCTCGAACACCTCGGGAACTCGCTCGATTCTGCATATGAGGATGTCAGCAGGGCAAGAGTAATCTATGAGTTATGCTGAAAACAGTAAGCGATTCCCAGGAGCTCAATCTTCATCTGGATCTGAAGAAATCGTTTTGAATTGGCATGCCCAAGTTTCGAGAATAGCAAAAACTTTTTTATAGCGTCTTCTACTTTCGTTCAATCAGAGCCGATCGTTTGTCATTAGCGTTTGAATATGCATTTGATATCCACAGCTGTATACTGGACCAATCATGTGGGATGTAACTCAATGCTTCAAACCTCCCAGACAGGCCTCTGGTCAATTAATTAGCCATAGATAACGAGGCTCACTTTGTTTATGCGGGTATTCAGATGGAATTAGTCGCCCTGGGAGTTCATGTGTGTGGTAGTGCCCCGTACTACTACCTTTTTAACAATCTACTACGAGAGCAAGATTTTCGAAAGATACTCGTCAAGGCTATGTTCGGTTACTTAGTGTTGGATGAGGAGAAAGCCATTGCAGCCCGGTGTAGCTGTGGTTTCTTCTGCAGTCCGTGAAGGGATCAATGTCCGAATCAATGTTAACTGGACGCAAAAAATCTGCAAAATCCTAGAGAAAAGTGGGACGTTTGAATGTCAAACCATGGAGGCTTGCAAACACACCTCTGGTCACAATAATGAATGCCTCGCATTTCCGGATAAAACCTCTTTCTCCCCGACCAACCTAACTCCAGCAAAGCCGAAGCCTTAGAAAAGGTAAAAGATAGAGTGCAGTTGTCACTTGTTAAAGCGATGTCCTTCATGATGTATAGTATTCACCCGAGCCCAATTAAGGATTGCAAAGCCGCCTTAAGCAGATGTACTTCGCCTTAACTATGACGTGTGGAACATCCCGGTGGTTCGAGTTTGCTGTTTTGTTTCCATCGACGAGACCATCCATCAAATACCACAGTAATCACTTCGTTTGAAAGATCAGAGCAAATTACGATCCAACGACTGCGTCGGTGTGTCATTTTGCGTAACTTCATCTCTACTGCTCTCAAAAGAACGAAAGAGATTTTGGACAACCTAAACAACAACTTCTTTTCATGTAAATGTAAACCCTTCGAGTATAGAGGCTGCTAAAAAGCTGGCTTCTAAAATTTTGATCCCAAAAATTGCAGTAATACCTAGGAAAAGCTGAACACATGACATTCCACAGACTACTGTAATGCCATCAGGTAATAATGGTGTAGAGACTTACTGTAAGAAAGCCGAAACTGACGGTTATCCTAAATAGCTAACAATTATATGTAACTCAAAATTGCCCTCTAGATGCCTATATTTTTCAAGGTCCCCAATTGCGGAAGAAACTAAGAGAATAACCAGAATTTTATGAAAAAGGGGAAGCCAAATCAGACAAAAATATCCTCGTCAAAATTGAAAGTCAAAAGGCTATAAAGTCAGGAGGTCGCTATTATGCCAGGAGGTTGTTTGCTTACCATGTTGGGGTAAGCTCGCAGAGAAATCTTCTTATGTATTCCGGTACTAATAGCTAATACAACTGGGCTCGATTTTAGTTTTTTTTNTTTTTTTTCAACTCTGAGGCTAAAGCAGTGACTGGAAGGTTATTCAACCATTCCTTTGCCTGTTCTTCCGCGTTGTGCATGGGTGAACAAAGGAGTTCAGTAGTTAGGAAGTCTAACGTTTCATAAAGAAGAAGAACGCACGTGAACAATGGGAGGAGACGTAGAGACGAAACAGCCAGAATTCGCAAGAACGCAGAGTTATAATATTGTCAATTAGAAAAGATTACAAAAATGGTAACGAAAGTTCTATTGCTGATCGGGCCCACTTGTTTGTTTGTTTACAGGATGCTCTATTTATAGAGCTTCAGCAGTAAAGGCCTCTTTATGGTTAGGTTGCTAATTCCCTCAAAAATCTTTATCGTAGTCACTTTCTCACTAATAGGTAAACAAAGACAATGACTGTGAGCCCCTCTTCACGCTGTTCAGCGAGTAAGCGTGGTAGAAGTGCAAGCACAAAAACCATTTAAATCTCTAAATTTTGTGTCAAAGCATGAAATTTCAATGAAGAAATGCCATGTCGTATTATTGATCAAACAAGTAACTTGGAAGGGAAGTCCTTCTCAAAATCATCCACTTAACTACTTGCTGAACATTTGGAAGACGTTTTCTATTCAGAACAACCTTCCTCCTATTCCACCCTTGAACAGCGAAGCTGTTCCTCGGTTGGTTCATAAGCTGACGCGTGTCTCGGGTGTGCCTGACTCTTTGAAACTCTTTAAATTCAGGTGCCATTCAGTGCCTGTTCCAATTTTCTCAGATCTCTTAGCGCAATGTCACTGAATTCTATCGAGGTTTTCGTAGCGTTCCAATAATATCCTTTTACAAGTGGTAATTTTATAGTATCTCATGTCTAAAAGGTTTTCATTGTAATTGATAACCTGTTTTTCTACCTTATATACCATTTTCCCTCATCGATTCATAACGGTTCACAACACTATACAGTCTTGGCATGATATCTTACTACAAATTGACGTGCAATCAAATGTTGTCATCACTTCCCCTCGCTAATTAGTTGTAACAAGAGGACGAGCATGTGATATCCGTATCCGATTCTTCTCCGAGTCTGGTTACTTAATAAAGACCCGCCGTTTCTGAATTGATTTCCGAATTCTTAGCATTTCCCTTATATCTAATAGGATGAATAAGTCATTTCCTACTCGTCCTTCTCATCCTATCCAAGACACGTCAAGGAAAAAGGCGAGTGTGCTGCCGAAATTATTAGCAGCCTGTTCGCTGAAAGCTCTTTCACCGATCAACGGTCAACAACTGGTTGAGCCGCTTCACTGCAGGCCTTGCAAAGGATGTTAACTTCCAAAATAACGCGAACTCGCCTCACACTTTTATGGAGTATGAAAGAACCCATCCGCAGTGGCGCAGACAAGGTTGGCACAGCTAACGCCTGCCCCATGAACCCCTTCGTTAGGCTGGCGCGGTCAGAGAAAGAGTCCAAAACTATGATTGATGTGCCTACAGAACGGCAACCCACGTCAAAATTTTACTTCAGGTACCCTTCGAGAATTCATTGGCCTCGCTTGGTTTCAAGGTGTTCATCACCCGCACTCCTATTCGTTGCCCCTTTTCATTGCCGTTTGCTCCACCTTCTCGAACATCACTTTGTTGGAAAGAATTTTGTGAATTATTGTGATCTGGGAACGGTACTCAATGACTTTACCGACTCACAGTATCCTAATTTCCAGCCAAAAGTCATCAGTATTCCCTAAAAGGATAAAAGAAGGTTATTAAGGCTGTCTGATGAATACTCCCCTTATTAATTCCGAGAATGCTAGAAATGAATTCATAATGACTTCCTTTTTGTCGGAAAACTCTCCTGCCAAGCTAACAATCTCTCTTTTTCGAGATTTTTCGAATAATAATTATTAGTACATCACTTTCGAAAACATGGGCTATAAAATTAAAACTACTTCCAACTTCTGCTACTCCGAAGAATTTCGATGAGATGGAGGATTGCAAACCTCAGTGTTTCAGTCCATCGTTGCTGCTGCTTCTGCTGTTCATCACGATACCCGTAGCCGAGACGAATATTCGATTGTGTGGCGTGCGACTGACTCGAACTCTTATGTCCATATGCAGAAATCAATTATGTGGTGGATTCGCTCAGGAAAAACGTACGTCTTTTATTACCTTCACTTGCTGAAACAGATAGGTTTCAGAAAGGCTTCTTACAAAAGCTTCCTGCACCCATATTTCCCAGAGAATAATAAGCGACCAACTTTTTTACATCTTCAGAGCTTTCATATTATGCAGAGAATTTGGCCTGTTACTGTACGAATCGATATAGAAAATTTGCTTTTGCAATTTTCTTCCATTTCGTTTTGCCATAAAAGGCGGTTATCCGCATTTGCAACGTTTATCCTCCCAGAAATTCTTTCCACTGTTATGTGCTTCTGAGTCAGTGAGTGATAATTCCGTCATGATCTTCTCTCAATGAAAAGGAGTAGCTTGCAACTACAATGGTGCAGCTTTGGATGATGTCTCCATAGCACGAAAGGCATACAGTTCAAGACCAGAGTATGGACTACTAAAGCTGTAGTTAATTAGAGATTGAATAGTCGATTCATTGATTATTTTAGGAATTTTGGAAGAATTGGCTTGGATCGCCGAGCCTCACCTATTCAGTGCCCAGATAACCATTTATTATTCCAATTTATGACGATTTTCCTATGTTGGGAGGCTAGGGGAAGAGGGGGTTTATGCCATGAGGTTGGAACACATCATGGGCCTTGGTTGCCATCTTCTGTGATCCACCGGTTGAATATAGTTACGTATTCGAGCTGAGAAGGGCCTGCTGGGTACTTTTGAGGGGCACGGGAAGAAATTTCCACTAGAATTGTTTTTCTTTTTGATTCTATAAAAATATTTATTTATTTATTTATTTATTTATTTATTTATT